TGCCAGCAGTCTTTGTGATACTTTACTGCTAATTTACCTGGATGTGTTTTCTTCAATAATGTTCCTAATAGTGAATGAGCTACCTTTTTAATAATATCGAAGTGCTGGAATTACTGTCTCATTTCCATGTGAAAAAGTCTTGGTGAATATCAAAGGCAGATTTTGACCTTAAGTGATGCTCAGAAGTGATTATGTCAGAAAGAAGAAGTTACAATCACAACAGTGATTTTTGAAATTCAGTCAACATTATATAAGTTTTATAAATACACATCTTCCTTCAATGTTTGAAATCAGGGGTCAGGACTCCAAAATAAAACTTAATACGAGATTGCCTTCAGTGGTTATTACTGCCAGGGAAATGAGAAAGGCAAAAGTAAAGGTAGGTGATACAAGCTCACTGTTTTCCAAAGTTCAACAGGTTTTGTGAGCAAAATGATCTGCTTACAGTGTATTTTTAAGGTGAAAGTAATTTTATCTACAGTGCTGCATTTGGAGTCAGTATACCCAGCCATCTGCAGCTGTATGTATGGCAAGCCTAATTTCTTGATTTGGGGATTAAATTTATACCATGCTCTTGTTTGTTTGTCTAAAAATTTTCGCTGCATCACCTGTCTGGGGGTTTAGTTTGTGATGTAATGCACAGTCTCAGTGAATTTTGTTACATTTCTTGTTTACTGATATCTTTATGAAAAACTTGGTGAAAGTTTATGAAAACTCAGTTAAGAGTCCTTATACCATTATATGCCAGTTAGCCAGTGTTATTAATATTTAAAGTAGTTAATGCTCTTCCCTTTTTAATCCAGGCTAATATATTCTAATCAAATGATGTAATTCAACAAATATAACAAAACGTACTGAATTAAGGTACTGTACTCTTCTGTTATCTCTGGATAACAGTATAGCACAAGTATTTTGAGCATTTTGGGGATTAGTAGCTGAATTTCTGGTAGTAAATGCATTCTATTTTTGAGTCAATAAATTTCATTTTCTGTCAACACTTACCTTCAAGTTACGTTTCTGCTGAATTACCCATTGTTAATTAAGAATAATTTGATCTCTTTGGTTAACGTAAGAAATTAGGACATTATTAGGGTGTTGGCCTTGATGTTTTGATAACAGGTTAGCTGCTTTGATCTGGCTGTGTTGACAGTAAAATTGGGTCTTCTACTTAGACGTGTAGGAGAAATACATGTTTGGTTAGACCGCTGTCAAATTGGACAAAATAACTAGAGTCAGTAAAGCAAAGACAGCAATAATAAAAACAGAGAAAAAATAATACAACACAGGGTCATGCAGAACGCTGTCACTTTGCCAGTATCATTTACGGCTGTAAACAGAGGTCATGACGTCACGCTACGGCAATCCCAGCTCTTCTCAGATTTGTACCATTTTCCTGCAGCTCACATAAGCCCAGTCCTAGAACATTGCGTTCCCTTTTGTGTACCAAAGTTATTTATTATTTTTTCTGACCAGAAGAGATTAAACAGCAGAGAGTTCAGGGAGGAGTGAAAGGAAAATGGCATTAGCAAAGTCTGCAGTGTCTGTACGTGTATATTGGTGACACATGGCTGAAAGTAGTTAGAAAATGTAACTGAAAAAAGTGGAAGTGGGTTGCTTGGGTTGTTTTCTTTCATTTGAGCAGAGGGATCTATTAGAAGAGTTTGGTCCCTGTGTTATCAGCTTGGAAGTGATCGATAGGAATCTGAAGTTGTATAAAGCACCAGCAGCTGTATAATATGGAATGGTACAACTTTGATAGAATGAGGGATAGGCAGCTACTGAAGTCCCCTCTTGTATGATTTTTTTTTATAGTTTCACGTGTTCTGATTTCGAACACTAAATAATGCCTCTGATGTAATTTAACTCTTAATATAATTCTGTAATATAACAGCGTTAAGAATATGGACTGTTTACATCACGAGAAGAAAAAAAGGAAAAATACTTTGAAGAATTTCCTGGGTTTAGTGTAATATTTTTTCCTAATTACACATTAATAATATAATATAAATCAAAATACAGGAAAAATAGGATTCTATTGTATTTGCCTGAAGTAGGTGTATGTAATCTTGTAAGCACCATGTGACATTTTAGATTTTATTTCATTTTCCCTTTAGGCTGCAGACTGACAGTTAAAGTGCCCTGAAGGGGTCTTTATTCTAGTTGAAGTACTCTTGATTGCACCCATCTTTTTTTACTTTCCTTTATAGCAGTGTTTTAAGTTTGATGGATTGCTGGTGGAGAAGTGCCATCTTTTCTGTTATGATCATTGGTAGCTAAAGCTGCTCCTTGCCTTTTCAGTGATCTTAAGAATCATCAATCACCCAAAAAATGAGTACCTCGTAGAACTGCAGGTTATGTGTGACCCTGATTCAGAAGTGTAAGTGTCTGTAATTTAAGAAACTTTTAGGACAAGCTGTGTGCTCTGTTCAGTGGTTGGCCATCTCAGTAGCGGTCCGGTTCTTCTCTAAAACATGCTATTTAAAATGTTATCGCAACTTCTTAGAAACTTGTGATTTAAAATCACATATCTTCAAAAAAATTGAATTGTGAATAACTATATAGACGTTGTAGATTGCACAAAGCAGGAGGGATTGCATTCCAACAACAATATGCTAGCAAAATTACACAGGGAAGAAAGTGGAAAAAGGATTCTAGTCTTCATGTCAGAACTACCAGGTATGGTATATGTTCTGCTAGTTGCTTGGTACCCCAGCTGGGCAGCACTCCCCAGTCTGTGGTGGCCATACCCAGCTTTGAACGGAGTACCATGGTAATACTTCCCAAAGAAATCTAACGTGACTATTTCATCCTCATGAATTTTTCAAATATATCCTCTCTTCCTTGATTTCAGATTGTAACATGTCAAGTAAAGAGCATTAATCCTAAAATTTGTACAACATGAATTTCAAGTTTCAGTCTGGGTCTTTTTCAGATTCATCAGTGTTCACAAAGAAAACAGGTTAGGTGCATGTTTTTTCCTGCCTTCATGTAATTCCTTATTGTCCTTAAATCTGATCGTCTTTATTTTTTTCTTTACAGTCCAGGTTGTTCTGCTTTAGTCCTTACAGATAAACACTTCGGAAGGTTATGTGAAAAGGCACAGTTACAGTAGAGCGTGTTTATGGTTTTTAACTCTTGCTGTGTCTCCAGAGCCACCACCGTCAGCTGCTGAGATGTCACAAGAGTCACCAGTTTCCATTTAATTTTGATTGTAAAACTGATGATGAGCTTTACTGGTGTCTGGGAGGCTGTGCAAAATGGATGGGGCAAAGTGGCGTAAGCAGAGTCCTTACACATAAATGGTATTTCAAATGGATGTGGTATAAGCATATTTTTCATAATCTTCATTCTGATGTCATATTCCCCAGAGGAACTTTTGGAGCCTAACGGTGAATTCAGAAACATATATGGTAGCATTAGAAATGAGTATGGAAGTAGCAGTAATAGAGGGGAGAGTACTTCACCACTGTCAGTGATTGTCTGAAGATGAATTCCCAGCATTCTCAAAGTGCTGGGAAGTGGTCTGATAACATGCAGTAAAAATGGGCAGTTTACCTGCATGTTATAATTACAGTGTTAGATGATGTGCAATCCTGCTTTCCTGCCTGATTGCCAGTACATCGCGTTTCAATGGTCTGCACTGTTTATAAGGGTAGTGTAGTAACACATCAGGAATGACAGAACTACCATGGTGTGTTTGTGTTATGAAAGCCAACCCAAAATCCCTCTTCCGTTTGTTCCTGCATGTATTTAAGACTGCATTTGCTTATTTGTATGACTGTAAATGGTGCTTTGCAGTTATATGAAAATAGATAGTTTTTCCAAGCTCTTATAACGTAGTTTTATCTAATTGTGGTTATTTTCTATAGCCTGTCTAGTTTTTTACACTATATTAGGGAAAGTGCACATAAGTGATTCAATTTTCAGTGCTGTTTACCCATGTTAGAAATTATTCTTTAACTCTGTGTGTTTGCTTTTTTAAGGATATCATGACTCATTATTTACTCATGGGTAATCATCTTTTAGTAAACAGTGCATCTTGTGAGAGAAAGAGACCCTTCGATTCAAAAGTTCCTGCCAGCTGTCACCTCCACAGCTAGTATCACCTCGTAATAGAGAGCTAGTTATGAAATACCAAAAATAATGGTTGTGTTTAGAGAAACAGGAAAGCTTGCAAATAAGCCAGAGCTCAATAACATGTCTGACTTCAGGGCTGCAGCAAAATATACCTGGGCATGTAATACTAGAGATCTCTGTTTTGTGTCTGATACCTTACTGCTATGTCTGGTTGGTATTTTATACTTTTTCAATCAATCAATGAAAAAAAAAAAAAGTGGCATAAAATAAAGTTACTTAATCCTATCTTTTTTTCTGTTATGAAGAGAAAATATACTTTGCCTTTATTGCCAGTTATGTTCCTAAAAACGATATCCTAGGTTTAGATTTTGAATCATTCCCTGGCTGACTAAGTGATGACTCTCTTGTTTTGTCTCCTATTTATAAAAGAAGTGAAAAGATTTAGCTCATGAATTTTTCATATAGAATACAGCTGTGCTGTCTGGGGCCAAATGCTGTCCTCGGTTACAACTCAGTGTCGCTGGTTAGTTGTCTGAGTCAATGACAGTGTTGTGAATGTATTTCAGGGTAGTACTGAGACTTAAATGTTTTGTTTCTACCGTGCATATGGGGGTAAGAATTAAGCAGATGATAGATAAACTGATTATAAAAATAGATAGGAAATAGAGGTTCATTTTTCAGTCCAACATGCTGCTGCCAGTACTGAAGTAGGAGTAAAACCATTACTCACTGCCCTGCGGGTGCTACACCCTATAATGAATGAGCACCATGTTATATCCAGTAACATCATGAAAAACTCAAGTCGAAGCAGAAGTTCAGATCTTAATTAGTAAAACTGCCTTTCCCCCTTCGGTGCTGCCAGCCAGAGAAATCTGATTATATTTTAAACTTTCTGAAATGGACTTTGCCTTTTCACTTCTTAGGATCTGTCTGTGAAGCCGAGAGCGAGGAAAGGTGTAGTACAGGCTTTATGTGCCTTCATCGCCTCGTTTCAGGTTGGTAACATCCCTCCGAAGTTTTACTTTCAGGGCAGCCCTTAAACCTGTGTTCTTTCAGCCTCCAAGATTTTCTGTACTTTCAGGTTAAAAAACAGGTTAACCTTTGACTAAGAATTTCAAAATCACCAGATGGAAAGCCCTTCCCTTTCTGCTGCGTGATTAAAAACTCTCCTCTGCATATAAGACTCAAAAAGCCTCTGTGAAAAAGATGTGAGGCTTTACTGATTCTGAATTGCAGTTTTTCTGAGTAATTCTTAATAGGAGGAGGCATCCTTATTAAGTGTTTGAAGATCTTCCTTGCTTTTTAATCTAGAGAATAGGAAATAGGGCAAAAATAATTAGTGGGAAAAATGTTAGTAGCACTGCTGTGTGAGAGCCCTACCTGCAGCTGGGTCTGCCAGGTAAATACAAGGTTGCTCTCAGCCCTGCTAGCTTGAGAAATAAAAGAAGAAAGCAAACTCAGAAAAACCCAAATGGAAATACAGTGCCCTCCCACCCCAAGTTTATTGTGCTGTAATGAGGAAAAAAGTCCCTTTGTGCTGGGACAGCTTAAGGCTGGTTTTCCCCCGTTGCTTGTCCCATTCAGCATCCGTTTTCTGAAAAAGGGCAGAGCATCGTCCGTTGCTGGTTTTGCAGACTGCTCAGCTGGTGGGCATAGGCAGTCTTCTCAGCCCCTGTACAAAATCTCAGTGAAAGACAAGAGAGCATTGCCTGGTATAGGGTAGATGGTATATTTTATGTATGAAATTCCAGTCACTGCTCCTCGCATGAGCATTGTGAGGTTTCTGAGGGGAGTTTGTTAGCAGTTTGGTGGATTTCTGTCTTCCTCACATAATGCTTTTCCAAACTCTTCCAGCTCCAGGGGAGCTCACAGGTATGCTCATGCACTGTCTGTGGGAAGGTTTTTTCTCAGGTGAGTGCGGGGCATCAGTACTGCCTATGTAGACCACCCCAAGGTGCTCAGGGAGCTAGCACCACGGCTGCTGCCATCTTACGTCCACCTCAGTGCTCCTGCCAGAAGGTTGCATGCAGAGGCAGCTTTCCATCAGATGCACGTGGTAGCATCATCAGCGGCATGGTTCAGCAAATGTGCAATTCTTCTTCAAGAGAGGGAGATTTCCAGGCTGCATCATGGTCAACAGAGCTGGTCAAGTGGTTTCTCTGGCACCTGAAGATAGTGCAGCAAGCTCTGGGCTTATATTCTGCATGTTCATGCCTCAGATTGAGAAGGTGAGAGGTCTCTGCTCATGATCTGGCTCTGAAAGCAGCAGAGTAAGGACATTTTTAGTGCCCTTTCAGGAGGTGGTATGTTTCTGGAAGGGACATCTGTCTAATGCATGCAGCGTTGCTTATTGTGGGATACACAGTGTGGGAACGCAGGCATGACACAAGCTATCTGGTACTATCAGGGTAATGCAAGATAGGTCTTTTAAAAGAAATCATAAACATGTTTGGCATATATACACAATAAAATGTCTCCTGTAGGACTCATTCTTCCAGTGTTGCCTAATCAATTTGGTATGTTGTTTTTGAAGTGTTGATTTTTTTTAAGCCTTGCATCTCCTTCTGATACTCAGATGTCTGGCTGATGAGGTCTTTTGATGCTATGTGCTGTATTTATAGCCCTTATGAACTCCTCTTGCGAAATCACTAGATTTTAATCACTTGCTTCCTTGAGTACTGAATCCTAAATATGCAGACTTGTTAGCACTAAAGAGCTTTATTTGTCTATCAAAGTACATTAAAAACAAGCCAGTCTGTTGGAGCTGCCTATCTTGAAAGGGTTAGGATGAAGATACCAGCAGAAGTGAGGCGAATAACAGTAGATAGATGGACAGAAAAACTGGGAAGGAACTATTCATGTAAATATCTTGGAGTTATATGCTGATGGTTTACCAGAGCAGGTCTGTCATTATCTGTTTTGCCCTTTTTGTGGGCAGTTCCTGCTCTGCTGTTGTATGCTACTTTGAAAATCTTTTCAAGGGTAATTGCTGCTATGAAGTTAGACATTCCCACATTCTGTATGATGCCTGGGTTATAAAAATGGTGATGGCTCTAACTCCCCATTTCCTTGCTTTTTCACCTTTTCCTTGAAATTTAGAAAAAGAGGTGTTAGAGAATGACACTGGTAAAATGGATTGGCTGTCCTTAATTTTTTAATTCCCAGTTTTTCTTTGTGGAGTTTATTGGATTATTCTTTACCTTTTAAGTTATTTTACATGGAGAGTTAAACTTTTCAGGGAGGTTGTTAGGCAAGGAATGTGCACCATGATAACTAACAAAATAACATTTCCTATTGAAGCCTGTCTGAATTGATGTCTGCATGGCTACAAACACAGAATAGAAGAAAAGAGGAGTTCTAGAAGGAATCTCAAAAATCTGCTAAGTCCCCCCTCTTTTGCTACTAAAATATCTTAAAAATGGAGAGAAATTTGATAAGGCACTGTGTTGGAGATAGGCAATATGCTGTATAAAAGCAAAAGCTTAGCTTTCAACTTACATAATAGACATGGGAAAATGTCACTGCAGATTATGCTAGTTGCACTAAATGCTTGTCTATTAAAAGCAGTTGAGTTCTTTTCCTGCTGTGCTGGCATATAGAGCTGCTGTCTTTGGTGCTGTAGCATTAAACCAACACAATGTTGAGGGGTATTTTTCCCCAAAGTCAATGTCTGTCAGTTACTTTGTAGAACTTGCTAGAATTATGAATATAAATGTTGTGCATAAAGGAAGCAGGATGCTGTCCCACTGGTCTCTGCTTTTCAGTGTCCTTTCACATGAATGCAGTATTTTGTGCTGTGCAACACAAGCAATTGTATGTAAATTCAGGGCGAAGCAGAATCTTAGGGTTTTGAAATGACAATTCTTCAAGCAAGAAAAGCTGCTGCTTATGGTAGTTTTGCTGGGTAAATTTGAGATTTTGACCCTTTCTGGCCCTTATATTCAGTGATAGAAATACTTTTGGTGTAAACTCCTAGAGGCACAGTGCTTGAAAAGGGATGATGTGTCATACATACCACCATATCAATAAACGTAAACAAGCTTATGTTACTATTATTTTGATTTTTCTTCTAAAACAGAGGCCACAGTTACTTATTTTGTGAGAAATCTAGGACACAATTCCCCCTCCCACCCCTCCATGTAAGAAAGAGGATTATTTTTGTGTTTGTTTTCTTCCTTCAACTTTCTTTTTTCCTGTCAGTTGAAACTCTTTCCTGTGGTGTTTTGTTTTAGGATAAAAACCAGCCAAAGTGGGATTTTCATTTTCTCCAAATTAGGGTGCTACTCTGATAGTAGTTAAGGAATTTTTTTTTTTTTTTGCTGCTTTTTGTTACTAGATACAGGATCTTTAATTTCCAAAAGCGATTAATGAATTTGGCATAAGGCCTTTTTAGACTGCATAACCTAAAACATCTGAAATATGGTATTCATTTCTTACTGGAAACAGTGTTCCATTAAAAACATCTCAGTTTGTCAGTGAAATGGCCAATCATACAAAATCACTGCTCTTATGTGCAAATGGAGCTTATGAGATTCCAGTCTGTTAGTGAGAGCTTTTCATTACCTGAAACAGTTAGAAGATTAAAACAAACAAAAAAATTACATCTATCTGTAATTAAATGATGTGATGTGATGATATTATAATTTCTTTTAAAATGTAATTTATTATAAAACAATTGCATTATTGCCTGTGTTCTTGCAACAGGTAGGCAAGCAGGAATAATGGATGGCTAGACACTGTTAAATTTTGCTAGTTTATGTACTACAGTCAGGCAGGTGGTGTAGGTACATAGCTATAAGCTATTATGATTTTGGTTTTCTAAGCTCTAGACAATGCTAGATGGATAACAGGATCCTCTGTAATTTTCTCTTTACAGTCTGTACAACACTGACTCATTTAGTGGCTATTTCATAGAATCACACAATGGTTTGGGTTGGATGGGACGTTAAAGATCATCCAGTTCCAACCCCTCTGCCACAGGCAAGGACACCTTCCACTAGACCAGGTCGCTCAAAGCCCCATCCATACTGGCCTTGAACACTGCCCTGGATGGGGCATTCACAGTTCCTCTGGGCAACCTGTGCCAGTGCTTCATCATTCTCACATAAAGAATTTCTTCCCAATGTCTAATCTAGATTCAGCCTCTTTCAGTTTGCAGCCATTCCCCCTTGTCCTGTCACTACATGCCCTCGTAAGAAGTCCCTCTCCAGCTTTTTTTAGGCCCCTTTTAGGTACTGGAAGCTGCTCTAATGTCTCCCTGGAGCCTTCTCTTCTCCAGGCTGAAGAAGGCACACCCATCTGTTTCAGACAACCCAGGTGGAGGACCTTGCACTTGGCCTTGTTGAACTTCCTAAGATTGGCACTGGCTACCTCTCAAGCCTATCCAGGTGCCTCTGGATGGCATTGCTTCCCTCCAGCGTGTCGACTGCACCACACAGCTTGGTGTCATCAGCAGACTTGCTGACGATGCATCAATCCCACTGTCCATGTGGCTGACAAAAACAATAAACAGTGCTGCTTTCTCTTTTTTTGCTTTTAGTTGGTGATGAAGCTGCTACAAACAGGTCATTAGGGAACAGCAGACATCAGTTTGTCAGTCTATGATTTCTTGAGGCTGCAGCAGGAGATGGCAGCAGGGAAGAAGTTGGTAAGCTGCCCGATATGAAAGAACTGGCTAAATCTAACGGGTCAAAATGTAAAACTGCAAGCAGTACCAAAATCAAAGGTGCCACTGAAGGACAATTTGCTTATTGATAGGAAAAAGCAGAGTGCTGTGTTTGTACCTGCCAAAGAGACATTTCTCAGAGCTTTTTTTACCAGTAAATGCTTCTTAGGATAATCTGAATCAACCACCAGAATACGTCTATGAAGACACGAGCTTTTTGGTGTGTTTCATTTCTGAACGCTGGCCATTTTTCTTTACTGCCAAAACAATGGGGAAAATCACTCAAACATCATAAATAAAAAGTTCTGATTTGAAATAGATGAGACTGTC